GTCCAGTAAAAGTGTAAAATTATGTCGATAGATAGTGGCATTTCCTACTTTACCGGGATCTCGGGTTGATCCCGGCCCACTATCTCGGTACGCAAAAGTCTCCGGACAATGAGACTACCACCAATCGATTTAGCAGATTTTTTCCTTTGATAATATTTATAACATGTTGACTGAAACCGTTTGGCAGCCGAGATATTCAATTTAGACGCGCTTTTGTCAATTTTTGCCCACTGTGCACTGTCAAAGATTTTCGATTCCCAACACTACACGAAACGAAAATTAATTATTTTATTCATGTGTTTCACTTATACATTTTTGCCAAAACATCAGCCTTATACCTATATTCCATAAGACAAACCACATAGATCCTATAAGAATGCATTAAAGGTATGTGTGACCGCTTATACATTTCATTTGATACATGATCTTCATGAACTTTTTGAAAGGCGTCCCGTAAAAAAAATGAACCCTAGAGGTACAATTAAATGTATTGTAACCATACAATAGAATTTATTGTATTCACAATAAATCGTACTGTCTACAACAATACAACAACCATAGAATTTATTATTTCCACAATAGAATCTTTGGTAAATGGGGAAACCTACAATAGAACAAGGGGGTTGTTATGTATCTTAACCATACGAAAAATCACTTTTTCCCGAACAAACTTGAGCAATTTCCATAAATTGTAATGTTTTTCTATTGTTGAAAATCCGTACAATATGGGACGTATTGTACATCTATTGTAATAACAATTTGTTAAAATTTATTGTACAATATACGTAAAATAAGATAGATTGTTGACAATAGATTTTATGTTATGGTAATTGTATGGTTATTTTTTTCCGGCGTCTGCTTATTAGTTGACTTATACATTTTATGAATAATCAGCAATAGAAATTTGCCAAAAGGTATAAGGACATTTCTATCCGTGTAGAGGCGTGCTAGCGTCAGCCTTTAGTTGGTTTAACGCATGTTTAGAACTCATTTTGGGAACTTTTTCAACAAATTTTGATAAAATGAGCGGTGAACGAACAGCACACGGTACTTGTTGAAGAAAGCATCTAGCTAAGTAGACAACCAAAAAAGATATGGCTGAAAGTGTGTGTCCATTTTATAAAGTGATCAGTCCCTAATCAATAATTGTTAGGTAAAAGGCAGATGACATTAAATTAAAATTTCAACAAGTCATTCACAACAAAACTTGTGCTTTAATTAAAAAAAACTCTTGCTGCATACTAAAAGCTTAAAATGATATTAGACTGATGCCGCCACCAGTGTTGGGAAAATATCATCTCACCAACGCCCAAGATGACACTTGATTTTCGCAACTGCGATGGATAATACAAGCTTTGCTATCGTAGCTTCGAATACCAAGCAAAAACAAAACAAAATATAATGAGAGAGAGAGAGAGAGAGAATGATTAGTAATTTCCATTTAATTCCACTACCTTATTTGCTTATCCTTGACAGATACGCGTATTTCGTCTACAATGTGCAGACTTCTTCAGTGTCTTGTACTAATACTCGACTAGACAAGACAGTCGACGTACAAGACACTGAAGAAGTCTGCACATTGTAGACGAAATACGCTATCTGTCAAGGATAAGCAAATAAGGTAGTGGAATTAAATGGAAATTACTAATCCTTCTCTCTCTCATTATACATGTATTCCACTAAGACGCCCACATTCATCAGGAAAACAAAATAACCAAACGGTGGTGAGTTCTAGACTAACATTTGAAAAGGACGAGCTCCAAAATGACAATATCGAGAAAATAGCTTCTGAATTTTGATGACCTAAAAGTTTATCCTATTTCATGACTTTCCATTTTCTGGATGATTTTATAAGCTTGACATATATTTAACAGTGTAATCTATCATCATGCTCCACTTAAAACCTCAAAAAAAGTTTTCTTTGTCGTGAAATTGAGAAGAAAACATCATAAGCCTTGATAATTTCTTACATGTTGTTACCCCCCGTATCTTCCATCCTTTGAACTGCCAACACTGGTGATACGCCGTGGAAATACACCCTCGGGATTTGTTGTTCCACCTTGGTTCTTCGTTCGCAAATTTTGTGAGAGTGGAATTACGCTCGAAGATTTTTTTTGGTCTTCTTTTTGTTCGTTGTTTACTCGTGAAATATCAATCGGATGCATTTCAAATGACTAGATACTACAGAATCAGTACGTTTGGCATAATAAAATAATATAATGCGTAGTTCTGGTGCAAGGCGTAACAACCAGATGCATCATAGAGTTGAAAATTGGAAATACGCAATGTAAGAAGATTTGAAGTGATATTTTCTTCTACTTTTTCGTGTTTATCGAGTAGTTTGTGAACTGTTCCCTCTATATGTGGCAAAATATGGTTTGTTTACATTTTGGTGTTACGCCCTTTTCAAATGTTAGTCTAGAGTTTGAGTTTCATGAAGTAAGTGGCACGGTAGCCCAAAAAAAACAAAATGTGAAGGTTTAATGGATTTTCTTCCCATCTTACGTAAGGAACTAATCGAAACAACGAACGTCACGTAAATGTAGAATTTAATGAAGGCATGCGCGCTTTTTTGAACTTTGTTTGTCTCCAGATTTAAAAGATCATCGGTCGTAAAGGCTTATTCTTGTGTAAAGGGCACCGCCGTCGAGTTTGAGTTTTAATAAATCCCAGGTCCTGTCATATTAAGGAAGCTTATAGTAACATTGCTTGATTATCGTGTGTTTTGTGAAACTTAACACCGACATTAACGTCACCGTCGGGGCCGGTTTTGAATGGTTGCAATAACATCGCGATCGTGATGAGGGGCTTGGTGGCCTTAGAGCGACCATTTTTGCTTACTGAGTAGAACATCATGAGTTTAATCTCAAGACCCTCCACATTCAAGATTCGTTAATCGCTTTATTTGTTAATGTGAATACAAAGGAGCTCTTTTGCCTAGCAGCAAATGTTTTTGCTTACTGAGCAGAATACCGTGGGTTCAATCCCAAGCTCCTTCGCGTTATATGATCGTTAGGAGATCAATTCAGCTGCAATGCCAACCCCCTTACCCAATATCACAGTGATTCCTCGTGGAAGTGCAGAGGTGTTCTCGGCTTCCATCAAAGCGAGTGTCACGTCAACACATTCATACCTTTTCCTTTCTTGACCTGTGTTCGGGCGCGGCCGGCGCTGGTATTGCCTAGTTTGAGATCACCAGTTTTTACACATTCAGGATGATTGCTAGTCCCAAGCATCGTCTATTGGTTCTCTCTGTAATTACAGCTGATCTGGCAATAACAGAGTAGCAACCGTGGGGGGTCAATTATGCTCATGCTCAAATGTTAGTCTAGAGTTTGAGTTTCATCGGCGAAGAGTAAAGAGAAATAGCAAACTATACTTTCTCATACTAAGAAAACTATGTGAAACGAAATCATTTTTGTGTCGAATCAACTCTCAGCTTCATTTTTACATGTTTTGAATAGTCTCGCAATACCAAAGGAGCTTGATATTGAGAGCGTATGAGAGTTGAAAAATATAATTTGATTGATGATTTTGGCAACACTGGTCGCGAAAATGGAAACCAACATGAGTTCTCGTTATGATAGGAACGGAAAACTTTAATGTCGATTTGCTTTCATTTTGTTAACCAACCTTGCTCGGGTCCTGTACCACTAGAGAAAGGTTGCCAGTTGGCCCATAAATGTGTACCACTCCATTGGACATTAAATTTAGAAAATCTTTAGGAGACGAACGTATCCAAAAGCCACTAACTAGCACCAAAACGTATGATTTACGATTTGCGAAATTCCAAGACTTATTAACGCATTTACCTAGGTACTTTGGCTGAAGAAATGGCAAAACGGCAACACGGATACAGTTTTCTGTATTTTCAAGTCTTGTTTCCCTTTTATAGAACATCAAATTCCCTATATATTAAACCAGGCCATGTACTCAACTGAACCAACATTCCTTCCCTTTCGAACATCCATAAATTTCCCAGCTAATAAATCAGCGGGCTTCACGAAAATGTGTCAAATTACACTCGCAAATCATGCCCGTAATGGTTTGGATCGATCCCGCCGGTAATAACGACCTCGTGAAGGCCAACCAACGCTCGCCGGCTGCCTATGGCCAGCTGGTAGGAATCGTCTTCTTTCAGTTGTCGTGTTTGATTTGGTTCACTTTTCCTCCGTCCGCGTCCGTCTGTCGCCGGTGTAGGTAACCTACCCACGAAATCGGAGACAAAATCACGCCATTTGTCGTGACCGAAAACAACTTGTAAGTAGTACTCGTTTCCCGGGGCATGTCATCACAAAAGTAGCTCGTTGCATGATTTCTAGATTTTGAATTTGTGTGGCGATAATCTGGTTTTAGATTTCACAACTATGTACCTTCCGGCGCGGCACGTCGTCAATGATAATGCTCAGGTTGACTCCGTAGAACTTGCACCTAATGCAGCAATAGTAGCATCTTTTCAGTTTGCAGTAGCGTTAACTAGAGTGGGTTGCAATGCGTGAAAATGTTTAAAATCAAACTTAATCTGTTTTCTCTCCTAACCCAAAAACTAAAAACTGTGCGAATGTGCGTACCCCGCCCTCTTGCTATGTTCGACTACCCTCTCTGTGTCGTTTGACCTCGCCCCGAACTCCCTATAAACTCGTGTAACTCGGGTAACGAAGACGCTACACCGGATTCAGCAGCATACTCGTCCGGTGCTGCTGGTGGTGCTGGGAACTCGTCGTCCCTGGGCGGGCTGCTAGGTTCTCCGGCCCGACGAGCAGCCGGGGGTTACTATCACCATCCCCACCATCAGTTCTACCCTAGCGGTGAGGCACTGAATCCGACCTATGCGTCCAACATTAATCTCTGTATCAGTGACGACATCATCATCAGTGTGACCGATCATGACGAGAGCGACTTGCAGCAACAACAACAACAACAACAGCAACAACGATTTAATCCTCCTATTGCTTCTTCTTCTTCCGCTATCAATACTACTACTAACACCAATTTTATAGCGTCGCCCAAGTCGTCGTCATCGTCCACGATGTCATCACCCCGCTCGCCCAGATTTGCCCAGCGGAATCCGGTCACCGGCAACGGCGTCGAGGACTACGCCGACAAACCACGCAAGCCGAGCTCGAGGGGAGGTCACGGTGGAGGTAACCCGGTTTTTTTTTGCCATTTAACCCACTAACTACTGTTCTTGTCTCGTGATTCTATTAATTTGCTTTTATGTTAATTAAATCTTCTTTTTTTCAGTTCCTACCTATTATTACTTAAGTTGCATTGGTGTTGGTAGAAAACCTTTATCTTTTTTTTAATAGTTCACGGTAGTATTTTTATTAGGTTGTTTTTCTTTTAGATGTTCAGATGTTTTTTTGTACAATATTGGGCCGTATGAATAAGAATTAATCGATTATAATTTACTTACACTAGGTACCGATGAGGCTTTGGATACTACTCTTAATTCATACGACCCATATTGCATCCTGTCGATTCTGTTTCAATTCAACAACTAACCCGCTATTTTCAATTCTTTATCGTTCCACAGAAAATGGCAACCCGGTGACCGGTGAGGGTTACAAATCCGGTGGTGCAGCGGAGATCAACATGACCGTCCCATCGCTGAACGGTGCCGGCCATGTCATCAACAAGAATCGCATTCCACCCGGTGGTTTCTCGTCCGGGCTGTGGTAATCTGTAGTAGATTCCGGCCCATCACGGAGGGCGGCATCTGCGCCCTACCGCTCTTTGTATTTCATTTCAAGACACACGTAAAAACCACATTTTGGCCACAGAATATAGACAACAACAACAAAATTAAGAAAATAAGATGCCCGACCTATGAACAAAAAGACGATCCCGTTCCACACACACACAGTCCGCCATCAAAACGAGCGAACCAGCTGCCGCCCGAAAGATTTTTTTTTGATTTTCCGATGATGGTTCATCGGCTTGGGGAACCAGAGAAAATAAAACTATCTGGACAAATATTCAATGCAAATTATTTAAATAAAAACTGATAGTGATAGCACTTCATATGCATGTATGCAAAAGATTCTGATAACCATTAAAAATAAACGAAAAAAAAAAATAATATATCTGATGAAAAGCGAATTACGAAAACCCAATTACCCTTTTCTGTGTAGAATAGAGAGGAACGATGAATTTCCAATTTGTGAAAATACAATGCAGAAGAAAATCTCTTTAGATTCCTGTTCGAATTTTTTTTGGGAGATTGCCGAACAAATTTGATATGAAAAATTTACGAAACGCGAACTGAAAACGATCAGACCAAGGTTTAAGGACAGACAGCAGCGATTATAAACACCACACGGAGTACTATTAACAGTAGCACACACACCAACACAAACACCGTGCGCGCGCTGTTGTTGTCGGCATGAAGCAACTAATTCAAAAAATTAAAAAAAAAGATGAGAGCAATTAAAATACTTATCACACAACAACAATCCCTACTGGAAAAAAAATAAAAGAAGCAGGAGAACATATATTCACATACACGTACATAAATATTTAGAGTGCATCTGTTTAAATTATAACCTAAAAAAAACAAATTGTGCATAAATCGAAAAGAAAGACAATTGAAATCGTCAGTTTTCCAGCGAACGTTTTCCCCTACCCCACAAATATCTATGTGGTAGTGATATAGTGCAGTTCGATTGTATAATCTCAACAATTTATAAGCATATTTCTGTCCGATTTGAGTGTACGTTTTTTCAAGTGTCGATTTTTTTCTTCTTCCCCCCGGCCTTTCCGTTTCCCCGATCAGTGGAATGTAATTTTGATTAAATTAATCAGAAGTTTCCTTTGCGACCATGATCACACAAACGAGCACATTCTGAACTATCTTCTTTTTTTCCCTGCTACTTTGATAAATGATTACAACATTTAGCCCGACCTCTCCTACTATATTTGTCTTATATTATATTTGTAATTGTATTACGCCAGGAGATGCGAAGTGGAAAAAAAAAGTTTTTTTTTTTGATTTGAACTCCCCTTATCTTCATTAAAATTTCTTCTTTTCCTATTGTTAAAAACACTTATTTGATGATTTTTATAAAATTGTTAAATACGACTATATATGAAACCCCAGAGAAGAAAACAAGTAGCGGTTCAAAATTTTATTGTGAACGAATGTGGCCTCAACTAGAATACCTTTGCTATTATGATAGGAAAAATGAAAGAAATAAAAAAAGAATAGAAATAGGGAAAGAAGAAAGACCTAATAGGAAGCCTATATTTAGCGTGGGAGAGTCAAAATTATTATGATAGTTGTAACGATTTGATATAAATAAACGGTTGGACATAGATGGAAAACCGATTTCCGAGAGCGAGCGAGTTATAAACACTCACAATAAACTCATACACACATACACGACCAGAACAGAGGAAAGGAGTAAGAGCAAGAGAATGGAGCAAAAGATAAGCGATGTCGATACATTCTTCTATATATTTGCATTACACGAATAAAAAAACACTTTGATGAAGAAATAAAGGATCAACCAATCCTAAAATGAGTGAAACGAAGAGCAAATAATAGTGAAAAAATGACAGCCGCATCTTGATTATTGTACTTGATTAATTCACTCTTATTTTCATTTGTAATAATAAATTTTAATTTAATAATGCAACGGCGTGCTGAATGAATCCGAACGGTGTTCCCAAAGTTTCGTAGCTGAGTATCACAAATCAGGGACATAAAGCTACTATCTCCTCCTCCACGTTCCCTCATCCATCTGCACTCCACCGTAGATGGTACTCCCGTTCGAAAACATCAAGGGCGCGTGCATGAGCATAGTCCAGGTCTCGTGACCGTAGAGGACCATCATTTTATTTTCCTTGATTTGTTTTCCGTCGATCTTGTTTTCCGTGCTGAGCACCAATGCTACCGACGCCAGGAAGGCAGCTCCCACCACCATGAACCTGGTACCAACGGCTTTACTTTACTGAGGCGTGATCAGAGATGTTATATGCCTCAGAACATAACGGCGGCGCCGACTGGGTTTGAACCCAGGCCTGCTGGGGTGAGAGGTAATCACGCTTACCACTACACCACTATCGCCGCTATTGAGTGGACATTGATAACTGGAACTTTCCGCTAACCTATGCTAAAATGGAGTCTGCTTATCTACTCTAATGGCGGTAAGCTCCAACTCGTATTAACTTTTAGTACCGTCTCTGTTTCCCTAAAAATAGTCACTAAATTGAAATTGAAAAAAATATCAACACCATTGTAAAATAGGGTACTTGGCACTAAGGAAGTCTACAGTAAAGGGTGATACGGTCAAAATTTGTTCAATATCAACTTGACGTATTTCTTTCAATTTTGCATTTAAAAAACCTGAACACCCCTCATTTTGAAGGTGTGTGTGTGTAGAATGTTGCTCCTATTTTGATTTTGGAATTCACTCTTCAGTTGTCAAAATGCCGTCCAAGCAAGAAGAGCAGCGTATCAAAATTTTGCTCGCGCATCGCGAAAATCCGAGCTACTCGCACGCAAAGTTGGCAAAATCGCTAAAAGTTGCCAAATCAACCGTTACAAATGTAATTAAAGTGTTTGGGGAACGTTTGTCGACAGCCAGGAAGTCTGGATCGGGGGGAAATCGAAAACCGGAAGCCGCTGAGACGACAAAGAGAGTTGCCGGTAGTTTCAAGCGAAACCCTAACCTCTCTCTCCGAGATGCCGCAAATAAGCTGGGTGTATCGTCTACAACCGTGCATCGAGCCAAAAAACGAGCCGGACTATCGACTTACAAGAAGGTAGTGACTCCAAATCGCGATGATAAACAAAATACGACGGCCAAAGCGCGATCCCGGAGGCTGTACACGACGATGCTGCGTGGTAATGGACGTCGAAACCTACGTCAAAGCCGACTACAAGCAGCTTCAGGGACAGGAGTTTTATACGGCAAAAGGAAGGGGAAAGGTAGCAGATGTTTTCAAGCACATGAAACTGTCAATGTTCGCAAAGAAATATCTGGTTTGGCAAGCCATCTGTACCTGTGGCTTGAAAAGCAGCATTTTCATAGCTTCCGGGACTGTCAACCAAGAAATTTACGTGAAAGAGTGTTTGAATAAACGTCTACTGCCTTTCCTGAAGAAACACGGTTGTTCCGTGCTGTTTTGGCCGCATTTGGCATCTTGCCATTACGGTAAAAAGGCCATGGAGTGATACGCCGCCAACAACGTGCAGGTGGTTCCCAAGGACAAGAACCCTCCCAACACGCCAGAGCTCCGCCCAATTGAGAAATACTGGGCTATTGTCAAGCGGAACCTAAAGAAGACCAAAAAAACTGCTAAGGGCGAGCAGCAGTTCAAGGCAAACTGGCTTTCTGCGGCGAAGAAGGTGGACAAGGTGGCTGTACAAAATCTGATGGCAGGGGTCAAGCGTAAGGCCCGGCAATTCGGATTTGGAAAAGCGGATGCCTAACTGAATATTTTTCCTGAATTTTATACTAATTGAACTTGAAAAAGAAATTTAATTTGATTTTTTAAATAAACGATTTCACCGATTTACACGCGTTTTCCCTTGACCAAATTTTGACCGTATCACCCTTTAGTTATGACAAAATAAACATATCTGTTGAAAAATTAACAATTTTAACCGGGATGACCAGTGAACCGCAAAAATTCAAGGACCTTCGAAACACCAGGATAAATACTGGGAAATGCCTTTAATGTCGATAAAAAATCGGGAAAAATATACCTCCTATCTCCAAAAATAAAATCTAAACATAGAAAACTTTTCAAGGGTATCTTTCTGCGCTAGATTTTCAGAAGTCTTTGAAGAATTATTGAACTAACTAGCGAGGGGATCTTTCAAGCACTTTCAAATAATACGTGTTGTTTCGTTGGTAGTTACAAAACTTCTGATCAGGTATAATACAATGCTGTACATCGCTCAACTTCTCCTAATTTCCCTTTTCTCATTTCAGTTTCTTTCGCTCTCTAAGAGCGAGTTCTCAACTACAACAATTCAAGAAGTTAAAAAAATCCAAAGGACATTTTAAGACAATTTTAAATGAACTCTTGAAATGACACCAAGACCCTGCGCTTTGGTCAGAGAGCGTATAGGGCGTCGTTGTGCCAATTTGGTCGTGGCACATTTCGAGTATGAGAGAGTGATTGCAGTTTGCTCAAAAGTGCCTGAGTAAAATGCAAGTATTTTCGTTGATTACCCGTAGTTGTTACAGTGAAGATATACACCCATATTCTCGTTTATGTCTGGACGTGTTTGCCATACAGAAACATTTTTATTTGAATTTGTGTGGTGGATGGGTTTCGGGCGTGGACGGGCATATGGGTGATAATATTAAGTTTACGTTAGGATAACGTTGAAACATAGAGAAATGTATCGCTTCAGTTTAAGAAGCACTTCACTTCGCAACCGATGAACCATTCTGACGGCCCACATTGCCGTGCAGGCGCCGTGTGTTGGCAGGGTCCAATATTGGACAGTTTGACGTTTACAAAGTACCATCAGTTAAAACTGTATTTTTGAACTTTATCTCTATACATTCTTAGATGTTTCTTAGTAGATTATCATGTTGGTGTAAGCTGATTCAAAGAGTAAATGGTATTAACATTGAGCTGTCCATAGTTGGGCGTTGTTGAACTTCTGGTACTTGCACAACATTTCATGTGAATACCAAAGTAACCATATAATCACAAAATAGCTTTAGGTGTGGGTTCAGAGTGGTACAATGTCACTGAGATATGGTTAGTTGGGTATTCAGATGAAACTATTACTTTAAAAAACTAATCCTGGTTGTACCTCTTTTTCGTTTTTTCGTTTGCATGTAACACTGTTTGATATTACTAACCGCACCGAGCCTTCATTCCGGGTGGTGAGCGAACCTGAAGAAGAAGAAGAAGACCATAAACCCCGAGTGTTTTGTTAGTGGACCTGGTCTGCGATTCAAGGTTGGACTCTGTGATGATAAGTATCACATAACAGGTAAAGTAGGTAGCATCATCTTTATCGAAATGTAAGTATTATTGACAATTATCATAACTAGATTATATGCAAATTTGTATGATAGGTACCTGGATCAACGTTGTTTAAACATGCGCATTCAATCGTGACGGCATCTAATTCTGCATTTTAAACCTACCCAACCCTTTTCCTTTCTACAATCCCTGAGCCGCTGGTTCACCATAAGTG